CTCCAAGGCAGAAACAACTCATAAGCATCTTGAATCCACATGGTCCACTCAGTGTCCACTTCAGTGTTGAATACACAGTAAACTGAAAACAACACCTGATAATTTGTTAAATATCAAAAGGCAGAATTCATAGAAGAAAATATGAATGAGTTTAATTATATATAATTCTAAAGTATCCGTGGCTTACAAAATAAAGACAAATAGCTAATATAAACTAAGAAGTTTAACATAACTAATGTTCAAATTAGTACGTACGGAAGCAGATCTATTTCTTATCTATCAAATGTCAAGGACTTTTTAAACACCCTGTGAGATCTTTCCCTCTTTGCTGGGACAGCTAAAGGCAGAGGATCCAACAGAGGACCCTATGATCCTAAAAACATGAGAGCCGTTTAATGGAAAGAAAAGAGACTGGTCCTTGAGATAATTGATTACTTGATGGCAGGGCTACACAGGAGAGCTGCCGAACAAGGAATATGGCAATAAATAAACCTATGTAAGCTTTAGAGGGTTTTCATTTATGTTTTTCTGCAGTATAACTAGTCTGCCTTTTCAATATACAGATATTCTCGTTTAACCCCTAGAATAACCCATTGAAGAACACACGATCATGCCTATTTTAGAAACTGGGCAATGAAATTAAGAAAGTTGCTCCTGGCTATACAATTATTAAGTAGGGGAACCATAATTAAAACCCACCTATTTCTGGCTTCAAAGTCTGTACAATGTACATCTTGTACACTGTGTGTATAAAATGATTATAGAGGTCATTATCATTTTACTATGAAAGCCAACCCAAAGTGAGCAGCAGGACCCCTGCCAGTGCCTTTAGGACAGAAGTCCCCAATCCCAGGGCCACAGACGAATACTAGTCAGTGGCCTGTTAGGAACCAGGCCACACAGCAGGAGGTGAGCAGAAGGCAAGACAGCGAATCTTCATCTGTATTTACAGCTGCTCCCCATAACTCATATTACTGACCGAGCTCTGCCTCCTGTCAGATCAGCGGTGGCATTTGATTCTCACAGTAGCCCCAAGATACGGCTATCTAGCTGCAAGAAAACAAGTGAAGGACTCCCTGATTCTGCATTATGGTGAGTTGTATAATTATTTCATTGCATATTACATAGTTATTCCATTATATATTACAATGTAATAATAATAGAACTAAAATGAACTTGAATCATCCCAAAACCATTTCTTCCTCTGGCCTCCTGCCCCAGTAGAAAACTTGCCTTACACAAAACCAGTTCCTGGTGCCAAAAAGGGTGAGCACCACTGTTTTAGGAGATAGTCCCATACCCCGTAGAAGACCACCAACAACTGTCATGGCACTGAGTTCTCCTTTAGCTAGATGCAGAGATCCTCATGACTAGGGTCACTATCATGCAGGCAATAACTATACTTTAATCAATACCTCTATGTCTCAGTTTTCTCATATGTAAAAATGGGTAATAAAATCTAGCCTAAAAAAATCTGTTGAAAAAATTAAAGTTTTCAACCAGAATAAAGTTAACACTGACTCAAAAGTTACCTTTCTAAAACATAAGCTCCATCACAGTTAAGCCTATTCAGTTTTCAAAAACCAACCCAATACCATCATTTGGAAGCTTCTTCTTTACTCTCGCTCTCTCCATGCATCTGTTATGCCTCCCAAAGACCTATGTTATTGTTTCACATTGTAACATAAGCATTCATTTACTTTTCCATCTCCCTTACAATACTGTAGGAAATTTGAGAATAAGGTCAACAGTTTACACATCTTGTGATTGAAGGAAACTAGAGCATGTGACACCAAAATATGCCACTTGTGTATATTGATCATTCTGACCTGAGGGCAACTGAAAAGAAGCAAATGCAGGAAGGTTCCTCTGACTTCCCGCTTTCTACTTAAAAGCAGGGCAAAATTTCCTCTGTGAAAGAATATTCTTATCATCAAGATGAGGAGTCATCAAGATAAAGCTGCACAAACTTACTTCCAAAAAATTTTTTTTCATTAGTTTCCTCCGTATGTTTCCCAGTCACCTTCCCACAATTTACTATCCTTAACCCAACCTCAGTTATCCTTTGTTTTATTATGTCTCCATAATTTATCGTTCTTTGATAAATGTTATGTAAGTTCTCAGGAATATCCCTTTCTCTATGCCTTTGTTTCTTGTATATGAAGTCCTCTGTGTACTCTTAAAAACACTAACATCAAATAAAATCTGTATGTTTTTCTCCTGTTGATCTGGTTTAATTTTTTTGGTTTAATTATTGGGCCCAGCCATAGAACCTAAGGAGGTAGAGGAAAGTCTTTCTTGCCTTGTAGACAACAACACAAGTCCACATAATGCACACACACAAATTAAAGAAATAAGTTTATCATTGTACTCTCATTACAACCCTGTAAGGCAACTATTATAATTATATGCATTCTGAAAGTTGAGAAACTGAAGCACTAACGTGCAGTGATTGTCTAAAATCATACACAAGAGGCCAAGTTTGCACTGCACCCAGGTCTTTAATGAAATCTGTACTCTCAACTCTTCCATGTGTGGCATTTTAAAGACAGCAAATGTCTATCATAGACCATCACTACACAAAATACCTTGTTGGTCAAAAGTAATAAGGACTAAATGGCATTAGAGTGCCTTAGAAAGTCATCCTCACCTGGGCAAGTATAGGAACAACATCAAAGGATGACGGCAGTCCCGTGGGTCTAAGTCAGTTCGCTCTGTTCTTAACACAGTGTGGGTTCAAGCAAATACCTGGTTTTTCTCTTTCTTCCTTTTCTTTTTCAGTTTCTTTCTTCCTTTCTTTCTTTCTTTCTTTCTTTCCTTCTTTCCTTCTTTTTTTTAATTTACTGGGGGCACATACGCTCTCCAGAGACAGACAGAGATGGGAGAGTAATAAGGCAACGCCCTTGGAGGATGGTTACACATCAATCACCTCTCCTCCGTTTCTCTCTTTTTCAGGACTCTGGCACTCACACATATACACACACCTGATGAGTTTACCAAGCTGCCTGCTTCAGGACTTGAGTCACGCAGCCAGACATGTGGAATCCTGCTGTCTCAACCAACATGCCGTGGCTGGCCCTTGGGCAGATATCTTAAACTCATAAACACTAGCTTCCTTATCTGTAAAATGGGGTTAATAAACAATGATACTTTTCATGGTTTTATGTAAGAATAAAAAAACTATGAATCAGACTAACAATACAGTAAGGATTACTTAAACTATACTGACTATTATGTCAGGGAAAAGTGCACATATTACATGCTTGCCACAAAGTATTTCTCACACCCCACTTATATCATCCCTACAACAACCTTATGAAGTAAGTGCTATTATTTTGACCTTACACAGAGAAAATTAAGTTTCAGAAACTTTTAAATAATTTCTCCAAAGTCACCTAGGTAGCAATGGGCCCAGTCAGAATTCAGAATACAGGCTTTCTGAGTCCAAATCCTTTTGCTCTTTGCTGTTACCTGCTTCATGGATTAGTTTCAGAGAAGGAAAGATAAAGAGGACTCGGATATGTTCCAAATATCTGAAGTCAATGTTAGGTTGAATCAGATCCACATGTGGCTTGGGATAGACATTAAAGTTGTTTTTAACACGTGGAGGACAAGACAGGCAAGAAACCAAAATGGAAGAAGATGGCCAACAATAAAAGTTATGCTATTTAATTTCCCTTTCAGTAAATAACTCAATAAATAGTGCAGACAACTCATATTTATATTTCAGTCCTTATGCTGAGTCTCCAAGTTAAAAATCTCATGCTGTAATGCCAATTTATTCATACCTCATGATTTTGCTACCATTTTTTATGTCCTGGAAAACATTCTGAAACAAACAGAGGAAGTTCAGAAAAGTCACAGGAAATGTCTGATCTCCTTTACTCAAAGAAAGTGAAACAAGTTCTGCTAGGTTAGTCTCTCATTTGCATCATTAATACCAAGGCATGTTGGAAGATGATCATGTAACTAGAATGGTGGTAGATGGCTTCAAATCATCCTGCAGAGAAACAAATGTTATTTTGCAATAACACACACACGCACAAATAATTTTCTGATATTTTCCTCAGCTATACACAGTTCCCCCAAACTTGGAAGAGACAAGCCTTTGCATTCTCCAGTGGAGGCCTGGAAAACCTTTCATGACGTTTTTGATTCTCATAGTCGGGTCAGGCACTTGTAGCAACAGCAGTGCAGAACAACGGAGGAGTGACCTTCTCTCAATAGGATGGAAAGTTCTTCCTAAGTGGGGCCCTCACACACACCAAGTCCTTCCACTTGAAGCTACAAGACTGTGAACCTGAAAGATGCTCAATCCAAGCAAAGGACTCAGACTTGGAGAAACACAACTCAACAAAGTAGAGGTGGCTGAGTGGGCCTTGATAGGGTGTAAAGCATTTTGCCTGTGCAAATATAAGAACATAGGAGAATTCAAGATTCTCTGCTAATAAATACATCCTCCTGTGAACTTTCCCAAAGTAGAGGTAATGGCACAAAGAACAAGGACAGCTCATGGAAGACGCATCGTAAGGGACTACCTGTAAACTTAGAAGTTTCTGTCTTCACATGATCAAATACTGAGAACTCCCCTTTGCTTACTCTCCCCCATTCAATCTCACCACCAACAACCCATTTCGAGTCATTCCCCCTCCCCTTCTTAAAAGGCCTCAGGATCAACAGAGCCCTGGGACCCTCAGGGGCACCCCCTCCTCTCTCTGCCATCCCCATTATTCCGAACACAGCCCTGTTCTCCCCAGAGCCAGCAGTCAGCAGCTCCTTCAATGCAGGAGCAGCAGGCAGGAATGGTGGGAAAAGACGCTGTGCCAGCTGCATGTTTCAGAATCTCCCTCCATATGCATTTGCCAAAGGAACAAAAAGAAAATCAATGCCAGGAAAAGACAACTGAGATGAGGATGCGGTGGGACCGCGGCTGACTCTGTGCCTCTTAGCAGCAAGAGGCTGGCCAACCACGCGTCCGAGCCACAGATCCAAGTCGTTACCTTCAGGATGCAGGCCATGGCGCTCCGCCGGCCCTCCTGCTACCGAGCAGCGGGAGCGCCTGGGTCAGGGGCAGTCCTGGCGGCAGGCTGGAGGCTGATACCGCGGCAGGACAGCTCCAGCCCACATTCCCGCAGACCCAAATAAGGGGACCGCCGGGCTGGCTGCGCGGGCACAGACCCCGCCCCCCCAGCCCCCGCCCC